AGCTTTATATTCTGTGAAAGTCACAGGAGCTTGCTAGACAAAATGGCAAACCCCTCATTAGGCTATTTCAAAAGCAATGCTGCTATGATCATCAATAAATGAGAGAACAGGGGCAGAAAATGGGTTACAGTTCGGGAAGAAAGAACGTGTAAGGAAGGCAAATAGGAATGAAAAAGGAACCTGGGCTTTCACTGGCTAAAAGAGACTTCAAACATACACATAATCTATAGACATATAAAAATGTGTTTATGGATCAGAATGGAGAACATGTTTATCTGGAGAGAGAAGAACAGCACCAGTGCAGGGATCGTCCACTCCTCAGCACTAGCAGATGTGGTGACCACTAATCATTTGGCAAAACAAAGTATGAGGGTGTCACCCTCTCAGCCCACAGACACACAGGCAAGGTTTCCTGCCTTGAACACAACCAAAAATCAAATTGGCAATACTCAGAAATACAAAATCAGTGTTCCTGGGAAAAAGAAATAAATCACAGATATGTTTCACTTTGTTTATTTGTTCTTCATTTTGATAGCACATCTCAATCACACTTAGTAATTAGATCTTACAAATCTTTCCCCTGCTCTGGGAAAAAAGCAAAAACCAGTCATGCATAAGGTATTGAATGCATTCACATCAAGTATGTTGTACTTTGAGGGTTTGAACATCATAAATATGAGAACATTAAACCAGCTAGTTTGGGGTTTTTAAAAATATTATTCTAACTAATCGTAGCAGCTTAAAAGGTTTAACTCAGGTTTATCTACTTCTAATACTTTTATTTCAAAAGGTTTCTAATCCAAGTCTGGTAAGGGATTAAAAAAATATAGAGGCCCAAACACTACAAAATAATGTTTTAGAGATAAAGCAGTTCTTTTTAGTTTGCAGGGCTTAGACCCCACAATGGTCTTTCACCTTTGTTGGGGATGCAATTTTGGAATTACTTAGGTTAGGAAACTCAACTTATTTGTGAGTTTTATGTATCAAGAAACATCTTTAAACAGGTCTAGGCTTCCAGAAATGCTGAACACCCATCCTTTAAAGAGGCCCTAAGCTAGGGAGAAAAAACCTCCATTTATTGCTGCAAATATTGGCCAAAATACTGGGAACCTACTAATATAGTTCTCACGTCTATGAAAGCAGCATATGAATCATTATAGTTTCTGTTATGCAAGTTGTTTTTGCCTTTTTTTTTTTTTAAAAGCTTTCATTTGAATGCTTTGATGGCCATCAGGAATATTCTTGCAATAGATAGATAAAGTCTAACAGTAGGAGGGGAAGAAAAGCTGTCTACAAAGGGTAGTTAGCTATACTAATTGATTTAAGGAAAAGGTAAGTAGACAAACTTACTGAGTATCTTCTTTTAGAAGACTTGACTCTACCATGCACAGGTGAACTATTGTTACAAACACTTGCTCTGATCCTACAAGGTGCAAAGTGCCCTAAACTGCTTTGTGAAATAACCAAGAGAAGAAGGTGCTAGGTATGCCTGAGTAAATACTTGGAGGTGTAGGACTAAGTGGATGAACAAATCGAGGTGTTGTAACACGGATTAATCTTAACCCCTTGCTATCAGGCATCAATTTTCTGTAACCCTGAGTTAGTGCTCAGTTTCTAGGAGCTTGCAGCAGCACAGCTGGAAACAACCCTAAACTTTCAATTTTGGACATAGGGACTGCGAGCAAAGGAGAACAAAGCGAAGGAGGAGGAAAGTTGAGTTTGGACTGACATTTACTCCAAGGTTTACACTGAATTTGATCAAGTGTCTTGTTGTGGCTGTATACTAAAGGTCTTTTTAGAGCTGGAACTCCGACCTCTTTTTCTATGGTATAGGATCCATCACACGTCTTTGCAGCTATCATTTACTAAACCATATAGCTGCTAGAGAAAACTAGTCAAGGTACTTTGACAGAAGTAGTTAATACTGTAACATCACATCCATGTTGTGCTGCGATCTCAGATGTCACATCAGGCTGGTGATGACTTAGTAAACACGTTCACTCCAGTTATAAACTTACTACCATTTCCTGTGCCAAGACTTTAATGTGCTTCAGTGCATGAAGGAAATTTACATCTGACTCCATGAATATATATATATATTTTCCAGCTCTCCCTTTCATTTCAGTTAAAAAAACCAGCAGCAATTATATTATAGGTTCATAGCAGATATTTATAACTAAGCTATAAACAAATGCTGAGCTAAAGCTTTGCAGACAGCTCACAGGAAAACTTAATTATTACAGGATTTATAGGAATATTAACCTTTTTGTTTTGCAGTACTACAGTTACACTATATTTTAATGACAGTGAGTAGATAGAAATTACATCTTTTCTGACATGGGTTTACTCTTTAAGTGGGAAATTCAGGAAGAAGCCTGTTATTATGCCTCAGTGTAGCAGTATATTTTTTTAGTGTTTTAGTCATAGTTTAAAGTCAGGTAAATGTAGCTGTCTCCATATAAGGGGAAAGGACTCTGGAGCAGATTAGTAATTTGTCTTTTGAATGGACATAACTTTGGTTGCTGTCTGTATTAAGCAGAAATTATATCTACCGAAGTTGTACTTAGGAGACAAAGGAGGAAAGAGTTTGAATCCACACAGAAAGTTTGATTTCTTCTGCAGTGTTAATTGGATATGTTGATCAAAATTTATTCTGATTCAGATTGTCACTTGGCTGCTCTAATTCCACCAAGTCTTTGTAACGAGCTAAATGAAAGAAGAATCTGGGCCACTGTGAAAAAGCTTTGCCTTGTGATCTCCGTGTGAACTTATGCTGGGAATTAGTTCTGGCCTGCCTGCCTGAGCTGACATCCAGGTCTGGTCTAATTAATAGCTTTTCTTAATACATACAACTACATTAACAACTTGATGCTTCTAGGAAGCAATGATTCAGCAAAGGCATTCTCTTATTTAATATAAATGACCATGAAAGTGGACTGTTTTGTATATATTTTGAATGTCAGAAGGCAGTTTGATCTACCGGTACCTGTTGGGGTTTTTTTAAAATCACTTTTCAGAATCCTGCCATAAGAAATGCTATGCTCTAATGAAATTGCCTTTATCATGATCTCCAAGGGCCAAGAACTCTCACTTTAGAGTACTCCTACAGGAGACAGGACAGAGGTGAGCTAAGTGCCCAGGAGGACCTGCAGCCCAGCAGCACTCCTGTTGTGGGACAGGCTGCTCAGGGCCAGCTCTTGGAGAAGGATGGAAAGTCAAAAGCTGTTGAACACCTGCCAGTCACCATCATATCCATGTGCTTCACCCACACCTGTGAATTCAGCTCCACAGCTCCTTTGGGAGGTAGGAAATTACTACTCCCTCCCTTGCACAAGTGGGACATAAGGAGATTACAATGTTCTCCTGGGGTCCCACAGAAAGTCTGTGGTAAAGCTGAAGATGAGTTTAATCTACTACCTTAGTTATGGGGCAGCCATTCTCTCCTCTTTGCCTAGGAACACACTGGGCTTCTGACACAGCTTTCATTTCTGCAAGGCACAAGCAACCTGTGCAATATACACGGTCCCAAGTGGTTTCACTCCCCTGTCCTGCTTGTCTGAACTTTACAGACTGGCTCGAACTGTAGAGATTTGTTACTCAACAGCAAGATCATCTTACCTAGTGTTTTGGGTCAGTCTACAAGACAGACACAGCTCAGCTGCAAAGCTCAGATTTAAATCTTCCATATAGATTGGAGCCCACTTGCTTCCACAATAAACACTACAAGCACAAAAGAAAGATAAATGAACAAAAACTTCTACTATTAATTACAAACATTAGTGCAAACCACACAGCAGATTATTCGTAGCAAGCTCAGTATTTTCTTTAAGGTCTTACAACTGAGGCTTTAAACACAGATGAAGTCACATTCTTTAGCCAAGTAAGTAACCATCTTTGAAGGTCACTCACAGAAGCAACCTGGATTCTGCTGCTACACAAAACATTTTATCCTACACTTTTGTGTGTATGCTGTAATACTTTCTATTCAAAATATATTTAATCCTGTGCATTTTAAAAATATAAATAACTAAATGGCAATAAAGACCAAATTCCAAGGCTGAGTTACAAGTTTGGCTAAGAGACTTGTCTAGCGTCATCTTAACTGCCTAGAAGAGTTTTTTCCTTTGAAATTTAAATGAGCCATTTGCCTATGTCCCTAAAAGCCAACACCTAAATCCATGCTTGCCATTCAAGTGCATGGCTCAGCCGCCAAAGGTGAGTGCTCACACTGTGGCATCAGATGCTCAACACTGCTGAAAACTAGCTCCCAGTTTTACATATTCGGGTGTTTGGCTTTACCTCACATCACTTGAAAACCGGGGCCTTTGTGCCTAATTAATTGAGTCAAAGCTTGCAAGTTGCGGCTACTTAAGAATCCTACAGGAATGCTGATCTCCCTACTCAACATTTGTTTATGTTTGGCAACAGACATCTGAAAGAAGGTGGAAAAAAAATAGCAAAGTTTGAAAAAATACTTCTCAAAATACTTTGCTGGGCAAGGCCAATGGAGCTAGTAAAAGCTGCAGTTAGTGGTCTGTACCCCCAGCAGCTGCAGCTGAATGATGAAGTCAGAATTTGGAAAAGTGCACTTTTTCATTGTTTGCTCTTCTGCAAGAACAGACACCAGAGCTGCACACCGTGTGTCTTCCAGAGGGACTCTCTCCTCAGAGGTTTTCATCCAGCCATTTGATATAGCTGTTCCTGGTCTGAACACCTGCAGAGAAGTCAGTAGGCCAAACGGTGAATATCATACAGCCATGAAAGCAGTCATCGAAGTGATCCAGTGTGACTTCCACGCCGGCGTTCTCCAAGCGCTTGGCGTACATCACCCCATCGTCTCGCAGGACATCGTTCTCACAGGTCAGCATATATGTCTTTGGCTGCAGCTGCAGAGTCTCATTGTCTGCAAGCAGTGGGACTGCTCGTACATCCAGCAGCGCTGGCATCTGCTGGATGATTTCAGCCATGCCTGTGGTTTGTACTACAGGCTTGTAGTTCTTTTTGAATGATGAAGGCAGCAGAGATGTCCAGTTCAGACGTCCTCTGAAAGAGAGAGCTTGGCCAACGTTAAGAGCAGTGTGGTTGTTAATCAGCAGTGCGTGAGCCAAGTCATAGTTCCCATTGAAATAATCTATCCAGTAATTGATCATGACATAACGAGGAAGAACAGGCATATTCATGTTCTGCTGATAAGAAGGTGTATTGAAGTCAAATGCCTGAAGGACTGGATAAATTAAGGCCTGCAGTTTTGGTCTGATGATCAAATCCTCATCTTTGCTAAGCTGTGGGAAAAACATAGGATAGCACTGGGATTACAAAGGAAATAAACATATCAACCTAGAACTTCATCCAAGTGAACATCCATTTGACAATTTTTAGGCAGAATTTTGCTCTTATACTGGTAACGTGGCTCTTGTGACAAGTTTATTGAGGGGTACAAGAAGAAGAAAAAAGAAGTGTGAAGTGGCATGTCTCTAACACAGAGCCCAGTTTAACAAGTGGCAACTGAAGGACTTCCCGAATCAAAGGAGCTACTCCTGCTTTTAACAGCTTTTCATGGATTTTTCTCCCATAAATTGATCTAAGTGGGTTTTTTCAGCAAATGCAGATTGTTGGCATGCACAGCTTACTTCTAGCAAAGGCTTGCCAGTCGCAGAAGCACCTCTGTGTCTGACTTGACCCTGCCCCCTGCATTTGGTGTGAGTCTATCAATTAACCATTTGGTGCCCCCTAATTGTCTTACTGGAAGAGTCAGCAAACTCATTGTTTCTTCTTCTACACAAGATCCTCAGTTCTCTATCATATCTCATCGTGTTTAAAAAGAATTATGCATCAGGAAATTGAATTAGGAACGCTTTTTACAAAACATGGTACTATCATGTTCATCAGTCCTCAATACTGAAACTTCTATTGTAATTGTCTCTTATTAATTTGTCTCTTATCGTCTTTTTTTTCACCCTGATTCAATATTGCAAGGTTGTCATGATAATTAATTATCTGGACATGGTATCTGCTTTCTTATCACTAACGGTTATGGCAATAGGAAAAAGACAGTAATAATAATATTCCACACAACCATGAAAAACATTATTGCTTGCCCCAGGCTGCCTTTAAACTCTTTACTAGACCAAATTCAGATTACATTTAAACTGCAGATATACAAAAGAAATTTCCTTAAAATTGCAAAATGCTACAGGAAGACAATCTAACAGAACAATTATGCTTCATTTATTGTACTTTTTTTTGTCCATTTGTATTTGAAAGTAATAGAAACATTTTCAGAGACAATTATCTAAATATAGGAAGCCAAACTGATAAATTATGCCTCCTTAGAAAATTAAGAATTCACCAGCAAAATGGGTAAAAAAAGTCATTTAGCTTCTTGCTTTTAAAATCTGGTCCTTAACAACTAGCAAGACATTGCAAGCTATATGACTCATATTAAGATTGACTCATTTTTTCCTCTGTGAAGTCACTAGATGCTTTCTACCATTCTGTTTTTAGGGCTGGCACATCACCTTGTGATGATGCAGTACAAAGAATCTGTTGACCTATCTGCATCACTGAATTCAGGACTTTCGCAGTGTGATACATCAGAGACACTGGATGTTACCTGCTGACACACAGCAGCTGCCAAATTTCCTCCTGCACTATCACCAGAGATTGCAATTCGACTTGGGTCAACCGAATACTGAGCTAAGACATCAGGCTGCAAGAAATGCTTAGTAGCACGCAGAGCATCGTAGTACTGCTCGGGGAAGCAGACCTCAGGTACCAGCCTGTATCTGCAAAAGAAAAGGGACGAAAGACAATTATTACAATCACTACCTCTCTTTCAGGATTAACAGGTGATATCAGGTAATCCTTAGTGCAAATGACTATTTCATTAGGATAAATACTATGGGGAAAATGGGAGGTGTGTAACACTTGTGTAAGACTTACTCTTATAATTAAAGTTCTAATTCCGAAAGATAAATATGAACCTATTAGAAATTAATAATACCAAGATAGTATAAAATTGTGCAGCACTTCTTTCCAAGGATTGCCCAATAGAGGATTTCATCAAACATTATAAAAATGAACTAGTATTTAAAACACCCTTGGCAAGGGAGTCATTACATCAGCCTGGTTTTGATCTAAGTTCCACCTTAATGAGTCCGAGGGAGAGGAAATCATATCCGCCCAACAGACTCTGCTGAGCCAGACACTTTAGCACTTCTGTTTCCCAAATTTTTATGTATGCTCAGGAGAGAATGAACCTTGCTATATCTCTGTGCCATGAAATGAACAGTAGCCAAGAAATTAAGTAATAGCGATTTGCTCCAAAAACATGGAGAAGAGCAGAAATATCCCCATTGCACAGGTGGGGAGACTGAGGCACAGGGAGAGCAAAGAGTCTGCCAGGAAATGCCAGCAGATGAGTCCTAGGCATGAGATTTTCTCAGCTTCTAAATAACAGTGCAGGAGAAGTCTGTTCGTCTTTACTGAATAATTTGAAATCTAGGAGTTGTTACTAGGCCTTATGTTACAAAGCACATCTTCTGTTTGTAGCTTTTCAAACAACAGATTTTATATATTCTCACTAGAGCTGAGCAAACCAAAACTCAGTTTTCTGATTCAAAACATCTTCCCTAGACTGTAAGCTAAAGAAGTTTCATATGCAAAATAAATTTTAAACTCAGATTACAAGTTTCAAGCTCCAATTGTGACCTGTTTTCAGAAACCAATCTGGATCTTGTGTATGTAGGAATTTGAGAGTGCCTTCTGGGAACTCCTTGCAAAACTGTGCAACAAACTGCACAGATTGTGAAAGTGAGACAAGCAATTAATCCACTGAGAAATCTAATTAGACTTGACTAATTGAGTACAAACACCTTGACTAAAGAATATAATGGTTAAGGAGAAGAGGTAAATAGTAAGTCAGAGCAATAGGCAGAATTATACCAGCATGAATCAGAAAAGAAATAATAAGGAACTTTTCAATACTGTGATTGCTGCTCATCTGGAATAACTGACAGATGCTTTTTTAGTTTCCATTGTTTATACTAATTAAAAAAGCAATAAAAAATAGTAAAAAAAGTGACCCTTTAAAGTACACTACAATAAGTATTAAATGAGTAACATCAGGTCCATATAATTAAAGTTAAAATTAGATCACAAAGCTTGGTATGCAATGAACTGCAGGTGGGAAACTTGAGTAGTTCTATCAGGTGATTTGGATTGCAAAAGAAAACACTCAAGTTGACAATAAAGATGGGGAAAGTACCAATCAGGTTGGAGTCATCTAGGTAACTAGTCAGCTAGTTGAGAGGCTTGTTTACCTTGGAATTGTACAATCTGTTAAAAAATCAGCCCTACTTCTCTGTTGTCTGGCAGTCCTCTGCTCTTGAGGGAAGCACAAGGCTTAAAAGTGATGACTGGAACAGTGGGAGAGCGAGAGAGCAGCAGGAAACTGCCAGACCCCACAGGGTATTCTGCTTAATAAGCAGGGGTAAAATGGTAATTTTTCCATGGCAGACCCTTTCTCAATACGACTTAGAAAGTGTGGTTTATAGACAGACTTGAGGGGGATTTTATATATAT